CCTCAGCCCGAGAACAGCTCTCGGGTAGCCGCTTGTACCTACCTCTCGTTAACTCAATACCTTTTTTCTGAATCTTCTTTTTCTTTTTGCTGGGAGACTTCTCCTCTCCGTCCTCCTCCATCGGACGCTTCATCGGGGTGACAGCGTACGTTGTACTGGGAGGAATCTGGACTGTAACAATCGTAACAAACAACCCTAAGTATTCCGGTTTCCAGCAGCAAAAGCCTTGGAAATGTGATTTGGGTTTGGTTTGTTCCGCCAAGTACCTACCAGTATAGTCAACGGGGTTTTCATTCTTTGGTTTCTTGGGCATTTTGGAAGGTAGGGGATCCATCCCCAAGACTTTGTGAAGCTGGCCAAAAGCAGCAAGTCTCAGAGCATGCTAGAAAGATTAAACGTGTGTTACTGGGACGCGCAAGCGGCTACACCAATCTCTGTTCCCTGCACAGTTTCAGACAGGAACATTCTACCCACCCCTACACAGAAATCCTCATCAGTTTAAATAGGACTCTCTGAATTTTTGAAGTTCAACCCAAAATACGGGTCATGGTAGCAAGTCACTATTTAAAACCTGATACTTTGCTTCTGGTTGGCCAAGCTACAAATTCCTTATTGGTGTGGGACCCATTTGTATTTCTTTTACTTGACTAGATATTAACAAAGTTAACACCGACCTCCGTGAGGTTACTATACTACCATTAACCAATATGGAAGTTCAGAGTCAGTTGAACTGATTAAGTTTTCGTAACATCTGTAGTCAAAACTATACCTGAGCACTCTGTGTGATATCTTCCCTTTGTTGTCTGTCTAGATGCCCAATAGCATCAGTGGCTTCTTTTTCACAAGGATCATAAATACCAGAACCATCTGAAGGCAGGAAACAAGGAAGATATGCAGAGAATTATCCTGGTGTTTTCTAAAGAAACTAAACTAAGTATTCCCTTGGCATCAATCAACACTCATCTCTCGAAGAACACGGACTGACATGATCCATCCAATGTCCAACATTCTGAAACTCGTCTGGACTAGTTTACACGTACAATTAGCAGTGAAGCTGGTCACGACCACTCAGGGAACCAATTTTACGCTTGTAGAAACTGGTACCTCTCTCTACAGGGGTTTAACGTCATGGGTCCGTAGCTCTGAACACACGTGCCCTAAGGAACAGCAAGGTACTGTAGTACCCGTGTACGCTGGGGGCTTCCTGAGCTCCGAATCTAGGCTGCCCGCACACATAACAAGGGACCGTAACCGCGCCTCGAAGCTTCAACCGCGTTTCATTTCAGCTTCGCTTTGAAATGTAAATGCAGAGAACCACCTAACCTGGCATAACGATTCCCGAGGCAAGGCATTCAAGAACTCTCCTCAGAGCCTCGCCAGCGCCCATGGGTCTGTTAGCAGTTCCAATAGATTTCTCACACAGCAGCTCTAGAGGCTGAAAGACAGTTTGGAAAAGTGAGAGAAGCAAAGGCAGGCGCTTGCGCCGCGATTACGGCTAGAAGCTGCTTCAAATTCACAAACGGTTAAACGATTTGCACCGTAGAAATCGTTAATCGGTACGACGATTCACACCGCAGACATCTGATACGCGTCTTTTCAGGGCAGAAACTTTGTTTGCGCTACATAAACCTCTAACTTAGGAAACAGAACGTGTGCAGGCTGAAGAGAGCTGAACACCAGCTTGGAGAAGTGGTACCAAAACCCCCAAAAATGAAACAAAAAAGGAAAATTACCCATCCTCTCAGCGGTGCCCAAGTAGGAACCCGAGTACACAGGTCTCGCAGCACTCGTATCACTATGACGCACGACTTCAGCCCGTTAGCCCTGGCCTAGGATAAGAGTCAAAAGCAGACACGCATTCAATAAAAACACCAAAACTGCTCATTCGCAGACATTCATTTTTTGCGGTGCTACTTTGTCAAGGGTAAACAGTATTTCGCGTTACCATTTTATAACTTATAACAATAACCGTAGTGTACAAAGGCAACATTACTCTTAACACAAAGCAGCAGCTATGCGTCTACTCTTTAAAAAAGGTTCCTTCCGAACGTTTAATTCGCTTAAGTGCCTCTTTAGCAACTGTACCGTCGACAGACGCTAAGTTCAGCACGTCTAACTATCATCCGACGTTAAATATTTTAAATAAAAAAAAAAAAAATAGTTAGCCCCTTAATAGTTTACGAATTTTCTACTTAAAGACAAATATAAGAACAAAATGCAAACCTGGAACCACTTGGCGTGTCGCAGTGACGCCAAGGCAGCAAGGCATTTCTGCCTGTCCAGAACGTCCGGGGAGTCGTTGACTGATAGCGTTTCTATTCGTGGATGGAATAAGAAGACAAGGCACAGTTTGACCAAGGGGGTTCTGTCAGGCGGAGAGGGGATGAGGCAGCTTCCTAACGGGCAGCTGAGGCTCCCAAAAGATCCTGATCTAGATCCTGTACCTGGAAGGATGGTCTGCAGTGCACTCGCCTAGCGGCCTTGCTTAGAAATTAAAACTGCAGAGAGGGGGGGGGGAAGTTCAATTAACAGGGGCGGACTGAAATCTGTTCTGCAAGGAGGAGGAGACGGGGCGTGAAACTCGATGGGAGAGGACAGAAATCCTTTGCGACTCGAATGAAGTGGTAGCATACGAGGCCGGTAATAGATAACAAAGGGAAATTTAAAATAAACCCCCACTCTGCGTTCAGAGCGTAGCTTTAGTGGAGGAGCCGGGGGGGAAAAGCTTTGCGAGGATCAAGGGAACCCCCTCCGCCCATAAGGCTTGACTGCCCTGGCCCCAACCCGTGACAGAGAGCGTCCTGTTGGTCAAAGGTCCAGCGTCCCTAAAATTGACAAACTAGAAGGCTTGGTAGACGAGGTCAGATATCAAAACCATAGACAGTCAATAGAGCACAAAGATATTTTCCAGTCTGTGCTGCAGCAAAATTGAAGATATAATTAACAGGCGGACTGAAATCTGTTCTGCAAGGAGGAGGAGACGGGGCGTGAAACTCGATGGGAGAGGACAGAAATCCTTTGCGACTCGAATGAAGTGGTAGCATACGAGGCCGGTAATAGATAACAAAGGGAAATTTAAAATAAACCCCCACTCTGCGTTCAGAGCGTAGCTTTAGTGGAGGAGCCGGGGGGGAAAAGCTTTGCGAGGATCAAGGGAACCCCCTCCGCCCATAAGGCTTGACTGCCCTGGCCCCAACCCGTGACAGAGAGCGTCCTGTTGGTCAAAGGTCCAGCGTCCCTAAAATTGACAAACTAGAAGGCTTGGTAGACGAGGTCAGATATCAAAACCATAGACAGTCAATAGAGCACAAAGATATTTTCCAGTCTGTGCTGCAGCAAAATTGAAGATATGGTTTGAAAAAGCTCAACGTTTCTGAAGACCAGGGTTTTAGATAAGGCTAGTGCAGAGGGCGCGCGTCTGAAACCCGCCAATTCGACAGCGCGATGCCTACGATACAGAACCCATCGTAATTCAAGCGCAAAAAACCGCCTGTGAATTCTTATTCCAAAGGGAATTTTGAGAGCGAATGGAGAAGCTAACTTTATCCAAAACTCTGCATCACTTTCTGGAATTCTGAACTTCAGCTGATGAAACAGCCAATCGAGGAGACCCAGAGCACCTATCATTCTTGCTGCAACACAAACTGTGTGGAACATCCAATTTCATGTACATGCAAGTCATTTAACAAGAAGCCTTCGAGATTTTTTTTTTAAATGTATCTGGTTTATGTTTTTATGTCACTGTGCAGGCCACTTACATGGCTAGGTACAAAACAAGATTAATACAACAAGATGACGTATTAGTGAACTAAAGGCCCAAGTCAAAAAAAAAATTAAAATAAAAAGGATAAAAAAAAAAAAAGAGCAAAATCCCATCTGAAAGGTGCTACTCAGTTTCGGAAGCTCAGTCTGAATACACCGTAACCGTGATCTCATGAGGTTGGTGTTGTCTTACGGAATTTTGGATTTGCACAAAAATAATTGTTGCCGCTTCGGCTGAAACTGAAGAGCACGCTTTACCAGTGAATTAGCAACGGAAATGTACGGGTTTCCAGCCGACTGTCGGCTGTTTTCAGTCTTCCATACCTCCAGCTAACTGTTTTTCCATTTCTTCTCTGACTACGGGCGACGTCAAGTGGATGGTCAGCGTCAACGGCGGCTCTTTTGTGTTCTTAATTACAATTGCAGCATCACCAACCGACTGGATTATTTCATATTTGTCTTCGGTAATAGCCTGCAATACAATTTCACCGCTCAGCGATCGTCCGATTCATTTCTGAGTGATTTGCAACGTCCTTTTCCAACAAAAAACAAGGTCTATAAACAAAAATTCAGCTAACAGAAGTTCATTTAACGAGGCAATTCCAGAACTTCAGCTAACAGAAGAGAAGTTCATTTAACGAGGCAATTCCAGAATAACGCTACATGTCTATGAAAATTACTTCTCCAAGACAGAAAAAGGGTATCAAACCAAACGTCATCGGTGCCTTTTTTAACCATTTAAAAATCCGTTTCGCTCGTTCTGTAACAAGCACACACGAACACTGAGAGGTTTTACTCACAGCAAGCTGGACTCCGAGATTGTCAGCTACTTTCTCCAGGAGATCTGTGGTGGGTTTATCTTTGCACAAAAGAACTAGCTCAAGATCCAAGTCCCCCTTCAGTAACAGGCCTTTTGCTACAAGCCCTACACGCATCACTCCACGCAGGGTCCTTGTCAACTGCTCGGTGGCCTTCTGATCCCTGCAAATATACAGGGCACAGTCACGACGGCTGCAAAACTCAAAGAATTCACCGCAAGCCGGGTAAGCACGAACGCTCAACCCAAGCTAAGGGGTAGACCTGCAAAGATTAAATACGACGCACGACCCCCGCTGAAGGATTTACTACACCTGCACGGGAAAAGTCGCTTCAACCCCAGGTTAGTTAATTCCGCTTGGAATTTCCGCCAGGGAAAACAACTTTTCCAACTTCAGCGAGCGGATTTTTACTAATCTAAGTAAGATGGCGCTACCGCTTCCGACAGCACCCTTTACAGGCAGGTGTTCGGTGATGTTCCTTACCCTCCTTCCTTGTTTTCCTCTTCGGCTGCCGTCTCCATGGACTCTGTTTCTGGCTGCTCCCCGCTGACTTTTTCTTGCTCGTCGATCCAGTCGGACACAGCTTTGAGCGCTCGCTCCGTGTGGGACACCATATTCTGAACTGCCTCCAGCTCCTCCTGCGTCGGGTAAACGGCCGAATGTTTGGCCATCACGTGGCGGTCATCGTTCACAAAAATACGCATTGGTCGCTGAAAAGGGAGTTTGAAACAATTTTAGGGAGAGCCGAAACACAGAGATTTATCTCGCGAGTCCAAAACCTCCCGATCCTTACCATTTTTGCTTTTGAGTGTCTCTCCAAGCGTTCAAAATGTGCTTATTTAGATTCTTCCACCAAAAAGACTGTACCGGTACCACACTTTTCTGTAATCTGAAAGCAACAGAAAACCGGTTAGCAACGCCGGCAGGCTGGTCCGGCCCCGCAGCCCGCTCGCTGAGCGTACACAGGAACAGAAATAACTGCCACTGGTAACTGGAAGCAATAGCAGAAATTAGAAGTATGCGAACTCGTTAGCGAAAGCCCAGTTTTCTGCTCCTGATGGCTTATTCTTAAGACCCGAATAGTACCCGTGATAACGATTACAGCCAGGTTTGTCACACAGCTGTCACCCCAACTTGCACGGACTGCCCCCAAAGGAGGTTTGCATTAACTGCCCGGCAGTTTAACAAGCGCCATACGCTCATTTACCTCCCAACAGTTCAGCCGTGGAGCCACGGCCGAGCACGCTGCACAAGGCACACGCTTTGAACCATTCCCCCGTACGATCTCCCCAAGAAGCAGAGACACCCCAGGAGCCCGAGCTGCACCCGACTGCTTGACCTCCCCCCCCCACTTCTCGTTCGCGCCGTAAGTACATTATTTTGGCTCCTTATTCCCAAAAGGCTTTCCCATTAAAACTGGATTTTTCCAAAGCTCCTGCTTGTATTTCTAAAACAAAGTGCACTGAAGGTAAAGCACTCCCCGATACACGCCGGAGCAGCCTGCACTGGGGAAATTAACAGTCTGTAAGCTAATATAATTCCACGAGGTAATGAACCAGGTTGCCATTGCCTGGTCACCAAGCGAGGCGAGAGCTTTCATTCACGCTACTCAGAAGCAACTACTTGTAAAAATCTCTTTGCCACATACCGCTTTTTACCCCAAATTCATTTTACGGCCTGCTTTACAAGCCTGCTTTTAATTAGGATCAACGTGAGACAAGTTCAGTAGCCGCATCGAGTCTCTCCACTTACTTTATCAGGAGGAAAATAGTATAAACTTACACCAGCAAATCTGGTGTTGAAGCAAGCACTCGCGACTTCCAAAATTCAACAGATTAAGCCGAAATCACAACAGCTTGTTTCCGAACAAGAAGCCATTTTCGAAGGGAACTAACCCGCTCCGAGAGCCCGAGCCCCAGCTGGGGCAGTGAACTTCTTTTGTTAAAATTCAAGCACTTTGTTCCTCTGTTTTAGCCAAGAGGCCTTTGAGCAGAGAAACATTTGCGTCCCGCAGGACTGACTTAGGCTCTGTGGGAGAAGACAGCTTCCCGAGATCGCCTTCAGATGCGAGCAGGCTTCTGGCAAGAACTTCAAAATGCCATCTCGCACCCGCTGGGATCGCCTCTTCGGTATCAATAACGTCGTTTCCCGTGCAACTAGCGTAAGAATCAGCAGTTGCTTGATTCACGGTCATTAATTTGACCAAACACCTTTAATAAAACTCTTGATTTACCTCTAACTGAAACCGCACAGGGGCAATCCCAGGCCTGCAAGCACCCGATGTTTCGTGGTAACTCCAAGAATCCTTAAGTGCCATTTAAAAGCATTGGCACAAGCGAGGCAAAGGAAGAGCCTCAAGCGCCTGAAGATGATGGAGATGAAGGTCATCATCTGCATCCACCAGCTGTTTCACTTCGTTTTACAACCAAGTACACATCAGAACTGCCTGGTAACCACGGCTTTCCAAAACACTGCTGGAGAAAGTCAATCACCCCTCAGTTATTCCAGAGCTCACAACCAAATCCCACTTCTCTGGGAGTCCGTCCGCTCTGAAGGAGTTTCACTCGAAATGAAACCGGACCGAAGCTTGCTTTTGCTTTTTTCCACTGGAACCTACCCCAAGTCGGCCCGTTCCCAGCCTTGCCGGTAATCGCTACGTACAGCTCACAAACCCAATGTTCTACTTTTTACACTTTACAGACGACACAAACTGCAAGCAAGCCCGACCGATCTCAAGTATAAATTGTCCAAGATACCGGAATAGTAATAAAAAAAGATCAAATAATTAACTGCCCAAATACTTAGCGCTTTACTAGAGTAATGCCATTGTAACTCTGTAAAATAACACGAAGGGCCTGGGCAGAAATCAGGACCCCGCTGCGCTACTTGTTTCACAAACAGAGCTGGGGCTCACGACCTGGAGAATTTTCTAGGATAAAATCGGGAAAACGCGTTTGCTCGAGCCACCATCGCTGGACAGACTCGGTATTCTACGGCACAGAAATACCTCCGATTCCAAGCCTGCAAATATTTACGCCCAGGACGGCTTTGGTATTGTTACAAATCTGGATCTAATTGTAATTAAACCCAGATGTTAGCGCCCGCTGACCAGGGAGAATTATTCCCAAGCTACCTGCAAGAACCCACGAGGCGCCTTCTCACGTTTGCGGGTGCCAGCCTCCCAAAACACTCCTCCCTTGGGTGGGACCCCAAAGAACTCGTACGCTCTGTACACAGTTATTTTTCTTAAAGCTCCCTTCATTTCCTCCAAGGAAGGCAAGAAGTTAGTTGAAATCCAGCCTAGTGAAGCATGTTTCTACAGTCAGAAAATACTACAACAGCCCAAGAAACGAGAGTCCCGTTTCCTGCGATTTCTAAAGACGGACGTTATCGCTCTTCTTGAAATCACTGAAGTTCATTTCTAGCGAGAGCCCAGGAGCTGATGCTGCAGCATCACAGGATTCACGACGCACGCCTCTTGGGGAAAAGAACCACAGAACAAGTTAAAACCACGAACGCGCTCAGTAACGCACAATTCCCGACATCGCTCTTGATGATGATCGTCATTAGAATTTGAGAAAAAAGAGAAACTTTCAAATTCCACCCTTGTTTTAAGCCTCGCCTGCTCTGCCCTGCTCTCCCCCTCCTACGATTTCCACTACCAGCTTGATTTCACCAACAAACTTTCCACTCCAGTCGAGTCTTCCGACAGAAGGAACAGACTCTCCAAAACATTTGTTGGGGGGTGGATGAGAAAATGATAAACAATGCGAAAGCTTGAAACTTCTGCCCTAGATAAGGGGGAAGTTTAACGCACGTGAAGAAGCGCATTTCATTTCAGAAAGCTTCTATGTTTTAAGTAAGAATTTGTCATTTTTAATCTGTGTTTTTAGCCTATCATGCCTGAACAGGACGCTTGGAGGAGTGCAAAGCCTTAATGCCTTGCTTTTGTTTGCCAAAGCTCTTCAAGGTCTAAGGACTATTCCCCATCACAAAGCTACCTGGCTGACCGAGGTGATGGCAAACAAAAGCTTTCGGCTCTCGCAAAGCGGCAGCGACACGTAAGGAGGTGTTGTTTTTTTTTCTGAACCGTCCAGAAACTGAGCGGCTACAAATAACGGGATCGATGAGAACGAGGGGGATTTCGAGGAAGCGATGGGAGAGCCCGGATAAACCCCCGGAGAGTGAAGTTGAGGACCGGAGAGCGCGGTCCTGTCCCTAAGGGGAGGACGCGGGAACTTAAATCACACCAAAGGGGATGTTTCCACCTCGCCCGTGCCCCCCCCCACGCACCCTCCCACCGGCCGGCGACGCCGGTGCCCCCATTCCCGGCAACGCCGAGCTTCCCATCCCCACCCCAGGGTTATATTTAGGCGATAAATAAATAACCGGCCAGAGACGCCAGCTCGCGGTCAGGAATAGCACGCTGCCGCCCAGCACGGCCGCGGCTCGGGGGGGCGAGGGCGGGCCGGA